AGTTGAGTGCATGCGTGTATCAAAATGCGCGCTGTTGCAGTCAGTCTACTTACACTACACAGTTAGTGTTCCTTTTAAAGTTGAGTGCATGCGTGCATCAAAATGCACGCTGTTGCAGTCAGTCTACTTACACTACACAGTTAGTGTTCCTTTTAAAGTTGAGTGCATGCGTGTATCAAAATATACACAAATTAGGTAGAAGAAATTGAATATGATTTACAGTAATTGATCAAAATCCACACTCGACATAAGCAACAATGTGCAGACAAATGCCTCTGGCCCACCATAGGAAACTGAAGTTGCAACAAGTCTGCTTCATATGCTACACATACTGTATACTTGTGTTGTGAGTTAAAAGTCAATTAGGCAAAACGTGCAAATGTAAAATGAAATACAAGGTTTTTTTTTTAGAAAACGATTTTTATTTAAGAAATTAAAAGCACATTAAAATAATTGTGTACATTCAACCACATAAATCCCAATTGCTATAATTATATAATTTTACATGATTGTATTTATTACTTAGTCCTAAAAAATGTTCACATTCAATAAATGAATGCCCTATAGAAAATGTCCATAGTCTCTTACGTTGTTTCTGATCAATTCTTTTAAAACAATTAAACTATCGAATAGTGAAATTCATATACTTGTTACTAGAAATGTTATAAAAAAAGTGTGCTGTGTTTTCCTGAGGTAAAATCTATTATAGGTTCTTCAGTACAATTTTATTCAAAATCTTGATTCCACTCAAGAAGCCATATAAGAAGAGATAACTAGCTAAAAACTAGTGTGAGCTGCGTCGGTGTTTATAGTGAAACAGTAATGATAAAAAGGTAAATTATATACCGTGAAAAGATGAAAAAACTTCTGTAATTCGGTGCTTTGGGCTGAAATGACATTAAGAAAAATAAGCGTCTTTTGCAACTATTGTTTTGACACCTCATCATGATCATAACTAGGTGGGAGAGGGAAAGCTGAGGATCCAGTTGACAATCCATAGCTTGGTGCTGTAGGTTGTAGTGGTGGAGATTCTGGCTCATACACAAACCACCAGCTGTGCACATCTACAGGATAACAAGGACCCTGGTCAGCTTGTTGGAACTTGGCTGAAACATCAGCTGATACAAGGAATTTCCAGCCATGTGCTTTGAAAGCTTGGATAATGTAGCATAACATACTTCTTATATGTATGGCTTGAGTTGAGTAGACTCCACCGCACCAAGGATTTCCATTAAGCTTGAACTCGTGCGTGGAACAAGACGTACCCATAGGCTGCTCTTTGCATATTCCTCGATACCATTTGGCTTTCAGGATGTCTCTACAGACCCCAGTGAACTCTTGGGGGGCATTTATCAACCGCATTTTGTCTGTGTCACTAAATGAAAGA